AGAAAGGGAATGAGAAAAAAGAAAAGAAGAGTAAGAGAGGTAAAAGCAAGGTGTTAATGAGAAGTAGACAGAGGGATGGAGAAAACTGGGGCAAGGAAGCAGCACAAGAGAGAAAGTAGTTGAGAAAGGAAAACAAAGGAGAGATGTAGGAAATCTCTGCCACAATTAAAGCCCCTAGTTAATGTCGAGGAGCTAGTGCCTTCAGAAGAACCAGGTTGGGTAGTGGGAAGAGCAGGAGAAAAGAATCAATAGACTTGATATGAAATACAGAAGGGACAGAGAGACGGGAGAGCCACATTAAAATTTCTCTGGTTTGGTTTAATTTTGAAAGGCACCTCTCCCTCACAATGCAAATTTAGCTTCTCTTTTGGCATACTTTTCTTTTCCACCCCTTCCTCGCCCCACCTACCCTCTCTGTATGTCGTCTTTCTTTCCATCTTTCTTTCTGAGTCAGCTGCGGTTCCCAATTCTGCCTAGAGTTTCCTGCTGGGTGTCATCTGTTCAACCCACCGGGAGGCTAGGCACTTTCCAGCATCTACCACCCCACTCACAGCCTCCTTTTGTCTGAAGCTCCAAAATTACCACTGCTGAAATTGCCGCTTTCACCCCACTGATTTGCATTGATAGTAAGGAAATACAGAAAAGGGAATATTGTTGAAACATTTTCCTTTTCAAGTTTGCCCTAGTATGGAAGTCCTTATTGAATCCAAGCATCTGGTGATTAGTGTTAATGGGTATGAAAGAGGTGCATAAAACAATGTACTGATTAGAAATATAGGAAAATGGCTATACAGGCGACTTGGGTGTAGAATTGCAGGGAACTAAAGCAACTTGTGCTCATTGATTCTCCTGTTGTGTTGCCTCAGGTAGAGGAACGTTCTCGACTCAACCGGCAAAGCTCCCCAGCAATGCCTCACAAAGTGGCTAACCGGATATCTGATCCAAACCTGCCTCCTCGTTCAGAGTCCTTTAGCATTAGTAGCGTGCAGCCAGCTCGGACACCACCCATGCTCAGACCAGTGGATCCACAGGTATGGTGCTTTGGTTGGAAGTCCCTGCAAGTTTAATTACCAAAACCAGGGACTGGTGTTTGTGGTAAGATAATGACAATGTTTGTGGTTTAAAAGGAAATAATTTCTTCATGCATGATTTCTCAGCCATAAACTTGTTTGAGAATAAAAGCAGCATCAGCATTTATACTAGATGGAATAAAAATTAAAGGATTACATTGCTCATGTGGTAGGGCATAATGTGAAGACATGGTTGTGTTTTTTCTTCTCCCTTCCATAGTACTGTATAACAAAGCACTGTTAGGTACATTATGATGTTTTTTTCCTTCCTTTGAAGCATCAGGTATTGACTGCTGTTGGGGACAAGTTAAAGGACTTAGGTGAACCATTGGTCTGCTTCAGTATGACAGTTCCTTTGTTTCTGTTGAGACCCCTTTTATCCCGAGTGAAACCGCAAAGCCTGGTACAGTGGGCATAGTATGGCTTGATGTTTAGGGTTATCCGGAAAAAAAAAGGGATTTTGCTTCTTATTCTTCGGTATCGTTCTAAATATTCAGTTCACATCAGCAGCGACAACACATCTGGAAAAGCCTGACCATGAGTTCTTAAAATGCATTTCCACGAGACATAATAAAGCTGTAGAAACTGGGCCCAATTCTGACACCGAAATGCAAGCACAACTCCTGTGGACTTGAGTGAGGGCTCGAAGGATGTGTCTGCTGCCAGCACTGGATATAAAATCTTTGCCCCAAGTTTGTATTTGGTTTCTACGGGAAAAACTACAGTTTAACTGAACTCCATCCCCATATGGAATCTGCCTCCAGGAAAGTTTTCAGTGTCACCTAGTGAATCAGCATTGCAATATGAATTTGCTATGGAGGAAAACTGTTTAGCAGTGTTTCCTCTAATCATTTCAATCCATGACCGGAATGACTTTTTCTGTGCACCAAAGCATGTGTGAAGGTGCACTACCAGTGGAAACAAAAAACTAGTTGTGGGCTCTCTGCTAATTAGCTGGGTGGCATTTGAAACTCTTCTGGGCAGCCACAGAAGCGCACAGGTTAGAGGGAACACTGCCCTGCAGCATACCATTTCTTTTCAGATGGAGTCCAGAATTAAAGAAACAATAAGCATCCCATCTCACATCAGTCTTTTAACTGACACAAATTAAATACATTTCACCTGACTCCTTTTAAAGTTTCCAAGCCTTATACTTTTTTTAAAAAACGGCTGGCATTCATTTGCAAGCAGTGTCACATTATAGACTTTTTGCATAACTAAGATGTTATTGAAAGGCTTCATCATTTCACACACAAAACTTCATAAATACATCTGTAAATCTGTTATTTACACTGGTAATTGAGGGTGCCATTCTACGCTGTATCAAAGGAGCCTCTTGGCTAAATCCCTCCAGATCTTGTAAATGTGAAGGGTTTTAGCAAGGGTGCAGATGGATTTTATAAACTTTTTGGGAGGCAGCTGTGATCTGATGTAACCTAGACATTCTCAGATGGATGAGGTGCAAGTGTCATTCCATCTGCAGCTCCTATGGCATGCAAGAGAGAGAATCTTTAGGTCTATTGGACAGGGTGCTATCTAGCCAGACTGTGGAAATTCACACCATTATTGCTTTTTTTGTTGTTTTTTTTAAACCATCAGTGCTTCAGATTCCCCGGAGACTGAAGCTGCTTCTTTGCATTTATTTTTTCCATCTTTTTTTCTTTTTTTCAAATTAAATACCCTAGGAAAATTCATACTAAAATTGTTGAGGTAATGTTAAAGTTGCTTGGTTAAGAGCTTAAACCCGGGAATGCCAAGGCTAAGTAAGGTTTCTCATGCAACCTTAATTCTGCTTCCTCGTGTATCTGAGGCTATAGAAAAAAATACATGATCTATTTATATTGTATTTTTGAGAAATATTATGTGATCTTGTATATGAAGACTATCTTTATGCATATGCAAAAGTAGTCATCATAAAAGTTACATGTGCAACCCTAACTTTGGCATTTCCTGACTTTAAAGTTCTGAACAACACAACCTTGTAACAAAGTTTTTGTATGAATTTTGTTTAAGAAGCCAAAAAGGCTTGAAACCAAAACAAAAAGACAGTGCAGATTTCAAACCAAGGTGTTTTTAAATACATTAGAATTATTGAGATTTTAATTTTTTTTAAAGATTTTATGCTGATGGTTTTGTTTTGACTTGGTGCTTAGATTCCACATCTGGTCAGTGTGAAATCCCACGGACCCTCCTTGTCTGGCTCTCAGTCACTACACGAACAACCCACAAAGGGAATGGCTGGGTTTCAGGAGGCTCTGACGGTGACCTCTCACCGCCCTGAGATGCCAAGGCAGAACTCGGACCCCACCTCAGAAAACCCTCCTCTCCCCCCTCGTGTTGAAAAGTTTGACCGAAGTTCTTGGTTACGACAGGAGGAGGACATTCCACCAAAGGTAATGTTTGCATTGCTCCTAACTTCAAAGCTTGAAAGAGGCAATCTCAGAGCTCATCCCCTCAGCACTGCTCAGCGCTGCAATGCAGGGGACTGAATTTTGGGGCTTCTTTCTGAACTGGTGGAGTTCGCATCCTATTAAATTCAGGGACTGATCTTGTGCGATGCTGAGCACCTCTTGCATAGTGCTAAGCACAAGGGTGCTCAGGACTTCAGAGATGTTCAGCAGCTTGGCCATCAGCTTCCATGCAGTTTTTCACCCTAAAACTACAATATGTGTAAGTCTCATGATACACAGCAAAGAAAGTTCTGAAGCCCAGGTTGAATCCAGAACAAATCAACTTCTCTTTTCCCTTGGAAATAAAAAATGCATTCTGCTTAAATTAAATTATTAGGAACATAACATTTGTCATACTCTGACTATTGGTCCTTCTAGTTCAGTAGCCTGCCTCCATTTGTAATCAATACCTGATGGAAGATTTGTAAGGAATCCAGCAACTCCATGCCTTCAATGACATTACAGCAGCATCTGGCAGTGTCCTCTTTAATTAAGGCTCCTCTGGGACAGTATTTCAGTTGCATTGTTCTTGCACTTTTTTGCAAGGAGTTGGGAGAATGAATTATAACTTTGTTGTTAACATTTTTCTGAAACGGACTATGCTCTCCGCTCAGGAGCATATATACAATGAAAAAGGTATTGCAAATTGATTAGAGACATTGAAGTAAACAGTATTTTTCCATGATTTCGATGCAGGTTTGCTGTGCTCCAGCAAATAAGTAACTTGAATTTTAAAACAGAATAGCTGCTGTTTATGTATGGGAGCAATGATGGATTGTGTCAGTGTAAAATACTATTTACTCTTTTAGCTACCAGCTTATTGAGAGGCTCCGTTAGTGCTTACCTGCAGGGAGGGCAAGCTGGCAGTAATTTTTAAATATGATAACCCTTTGGTGAAAACGCATCTTTAGATGCTAATAGTCTGACCAGTTACTATGCAGTGTCTCACCTTCCCTTACTAATGTGATTCAGAAGGTGTCAGCTGCTTACTGCTAGCAACACCTGTTACTCCAAGTTTTAGGAATCGAATACGTTGAGAATCAGACCAGGCCCAGGATGATCATAGTGGTAGCTGCATGTTCTACTTAAGGTAATAAACTTTGGTGGTATGCTTGATCATCCTATCAGTGTCCTTCAATACTCCTGCCACTAGGAAGTACTGCCGACTCTTCTGGAGGAGTTGGCAGGGATAGATAGGAGTTGCTTTGCATTGTCTTCATTTGTTGTCTACCAAAAGGTTAAAAAGGGTTAATTGCTCTCTTTGGGACAATCTTGTCATCTCTGTTTAGTCAGTCTGCGAGGAGCATGTGAAGTGGGCTAGGTGTCTACGTTATGCTATTGATGCCCATTTCTTTTCACTGGGCCAGGACAAGCTGTTTTCTGGCTTATCTCGTATTTGCAGGAGACAGGAACTTAAATAAAAGCGAGTAGGCTTCAGGTTGGTCCATAGGCCTTTGTCATCCAAAGGTCTATTTGTCTGACAGTTTTCAAAACCAGATGCTCTAGAACAGTGGTTCTCAAACTGCGGTCCACAGGCTACTAGCGCTCCACGGCTGCCTTCCAGCCCCGCCCCACTGCTTCTTCCCTCCCTCTCCTTGCAGCTGGGAGCCTGTGCTGACAATCCAGCCTTGCTGTTGCCACTCCACAAGGTTGGAGCACCAAAACTGGCTCCCCACCTGGGGCAGGGGGAGAAAGCCCCTAGCCTTCCCGCTGGATCTGGCTCATGGGAGAGAAGTGGAGCAGCACATGGACGCGCTGCCTGAAGGATTTCCCTGCTGCTCCCATTGGCCAGATTCCGGCCAGTGGGAGGCCATGCCTGGGATACGGAGCTTGCACCTTCAACCCCTCTTGCACTCCCCCTCACCCAGATCCTGCACCCCCATCCCTATTCCACTCACTGGCAGCTTTGTCCTGCAAACTGAACATCTCACTTTTGTCCCCACTCCAGAGCCTAGGGAGGTCCACAAAATCCACTAACCCTGGAGCCCCAGAAGAATAAATCTGGTATATGAGAAGCCCTAAACCTAAGTCTTCCCTGTCCCTCCCTTTCCCACTGTGGGGCTGGAGCACCAGGGGAAAGAAATGTCACAGCTGGGGGTTTGGGGAGAGATTTTTTTTTGCTTTTCACTTTTGTGGTCCACAACTGATTTTTCTGAGGGTCAGTGGTCCCCGGACCCAA